GGACAGTGAAAAAGGGGGGGGACACTCTGGGAGTACCATTGCTGGACCACGAGCGCATCCAGCCCGGTCTGGAAAGACCAGCAGAGACACACTGTCTGTATTCGGACCCGAGGGGGTTTTCCTCTGTACCTGAAAACAGGGACCCTGAAGAAGGGTGGTGGTGGAGCTTTTGCCGCTACCGGGGTGCTCGTGGCTCCCCCCTCCCTGGAGTCCTTCCCCCCTCCACCTAAATCGCTTCATCCCAGGTGGGGGAAATTTCCTTTTTTTAATGTTTTTCTTTTTGAACACAGAGAGTATATGTCATTTTTTTTTGTTTAACCTGCAGGGGCCAGTGCCAGTGACGCCCACTTTCTAGGCATACCTCCTCGGGGAAAGGGTCTGATGCGCTGGAACCAGGACCGGTGGAGGAAGGGAGTGGGAGGAAACTCTGAGTTGAGGACCTACAGGAGCGCTGAGAGGGAGGCAATGGGGCCCGACTCAGCCGTAAGATCCTGAGGACGCCCTTGGATGACCGCTACCAAACCCCCCTGGGGCCCAAAAAGGTAAAAATGATTCATGTCAACTCAGATGTGGTTTAAAAAAACTCGAACAAAAGAAAAAAAAGTTTTAAGGATTTATCTTGAAATGCAGCCTGGGTTTTTTTTATGGCGATGTCTTTTCCAAAAAAACCTTCAACACTGATATGCAGCTGTAAAAAAAGTACTTTTTTTTGTTTTTAGTAAAAGTACAGATATAGAAGCAACACATTAGTAGTTAAAAGTATCAGATTAAAATTGTACTTTATGTACCACATTTTTAAATGTACTTTATAAGTAAAAACTAAAAAATATTTCAGACAGACTTTAAAGAGTCAAATGGGCTTTTTTTTTTTGAAGATTTTTTTTTTGGCTCATGAGAAATAATTGTTGTTATCAAACAAGGTCTAAAGCTGTGTAGAGACTGAATGAGCCAGTGGTGTTTTTTTTAAATAATTATTTGGATGTTTTTTGATTAGAAAAATTGAGCTGCAATCTTACATTCTTTTTTTGTTTCCCATAAACAGGTCACTATGAAAAAAGAATGTGTTTTTTAAAATTAAAAACCCCTTTTAAAAAACTTTTAATCTTCATTCAATTTTAAAAAAAGTAGTGGAGTAGAAAGTACAGATACCTGCTTCAAAATTTAGTCATGTAGTAACTAACTTAATTAGTAAATCTACTTTACTTTACTTCCACTTTTTACTTTGTTACTTTCCACCACTGCTGATATGAGGTTTATTCATGCCCTTTTGAATACTTTTAAATTTTTTTTTAAAATTCTTGACTAATAGTGTGTTTTTTGCTTTGTATGTGTGTGTTTTCTACAGGGGAGCTTCTTGGTATGGAGTATCTATACAGCCAGTCTGGTCAATCCCTGACCGTCATGGCTGACCCAGAGGAAGAGGACCGGCTGGTGGAGCAGCTGGACGATGAGGCAGTTAATGATGAAGGCTTTGTGGAGGAGGAACCTGAGGACCTGACAGTGCCCGTCCTCTATGAGCCCCTCGGTACTGTCCCATTGCACAGCAGCATCCCCCAGGCCTCCAACCCCTCTTCCTCTGCACCATCCTCCCCACAGCCATCCACATCCAGCCAAGGATTGCCTCCAAATCAGCACCCTGCCCAGCCTCCTCTGCAGCCTCCTCTGCAGCGCCCTGCTGAGCCAAGTGGAGCCTCTGTTCCTGTAGCATCAGCTGGGTGCAGTGTTGCAGACCAGGCCCCTGTGAGTAGACTACTCATTGCAACTGCAAAGTAATGTGACAACTGCAGTGCCACATTACTCATACAGTATATGTGCTTCAACATTCTGAGATTTTTACATGTGTTTTGTATTTTAATACTTTCTTGCAGGCTCCAGTTCTTGGACCTGATGGCATCCCCGGCTGGGATAAGGTGCAGGATTTGGCTGAGTACCTGATGTCCCTCCGTCAGGCACTCTACCTGGACGAGCAGCAGGTCACAGAGGTCATCCGCCTGTGGACTGCTCTTCCTGATGGAGACAAGAGGAGGATTAATTATCAGCCTAGACACCAACCCAAGCTGGCCCACGGTCGCTTCAAGGCCCCTAAAAACACAGGAGTGACACCCGGTGTGGAAAGTGTTAAGAGGAGCCTAATTGGTCATCCAGGGGGGCCAGCTCAGTGGCCCAGCACCAGTCGTTTAGTTGAGGCCATGTGCATCAAGCTGTGTTCACTGCACAGGTCTCCAACTAAGAAGGACGGAGTCCGGCTTCCTCGGTGGACAAAAGTGCTCACCGACTACCACCACATCCGAGACCTGGTGCTGAACAGCCACACCCTGATGGAGGCCACCTCTCTTCAGCTTTTTGTCCTGAATCAGAGGACTCTTACACAATGGTAAGCACAGTAGTTTTTACATTGACATTTGAATGACCAATATTGCAGTAAATTATAATAATGACAATTTTCTGACTGCAGGTTTAATCGGAGGGAGAGGACCCAGGAGTTAGGTGTCCTTACCCAGGGCCTTGCTGCAGAAGGTGGCATCGTTGTGGCCAGCTCACAGCTTCCAGCTCCACGGGAAATACTGGATCAAACTCCCTCAACATCAGGGCTCCAAACATCATTTGTTTTTCCCCCAAACAGAGCGGGACAGGCTCCTAAGCTGCGCCCAGGCAGACGACCTGCTAGTGCCACGGTTTGTGCGCCATCGCCCCAGCAGCTCCTCTTCCTCTCCCCGCCCTGTGCCACCACTCCATTTTTTTTCAGTGAATGCTGGGTCGATGGTGATGGCAGCAGGTGGTGGTCACCCCTCAGGTTTCCTTCCGCTGGCTCCGACTTTAGTGGCTCTTTCACCCCCCCCCCCTTGTGTCTGTGTCCCGCTCCACTCAAGGAAGAGGAGACGTAGGGCAGAAGAGGGCCACTGGGGGCCGAAAAAAAAAATATACCCGTGAAGTGGTTTTAAAAAGTGCCAAATGTGGGCAGGCCAAACAAAAGGTTTGGCCACAGCCGCTTTTGGCAGTGCCACTTTCCTGCCCCAGTAACTCAGGGGGAAAATCCTTAGAGGAGTGGTTTGAACAGCGCCAGCTGAAGAGACAGGAAAACCCAGCTCCATAATCTGGAGGTGGAGGCACATCTGTAAATATTGTATATAAGACTGTAAAAATGTAAAATGTAAATAGATCTTTATACTTACCCAAATAAACAAAAATACAATCATTAAACAGAAAAATAATCTTACCCTATCAGCAACCCCTTTCCCTTTTTTTGTATTTTGTCATTTTTTTTTTTCTTTATAGTACTGAATACTGTTTATTTTTCAATTTACTATACAGTTTTTTTCTAATATTTTTAGTTTTTTATAAAATGGAAGTGTGTTGTGTGTAGTACTTTTTTTTTTGTAAATAAATGCTGTTTATTATTCTGATTCTTTTTTATTGCTTTTAATTTTCCCTTTAGATTTGAGTGTTTGTTTACTTAGCTGAGGCCCGGCCCCTGTAAATCCCAGCAGCTTGTCTTGGAACAAAAGGTCCTGCTGGGGGTCAGAGGGGGTCAGGGCAGGTGCTGCTCATCACACTAACTTTTATGTTGCCTGTGTGATTTTATGACTCTACTCTTTCCCCGCAAGCTCAACCTCAAAGGCTAATAAAAGTGCAGGTACACTATTGTTGCATTAATGAGAGGTAGTAGGCTTAAAAAGTCAAAATAGGTTAATATTACCATATAGATGTAGACGTACATTTACTTTTTGTTATGCAAGATGGTTTTTGACTATATTTAGGTATACATCTACTAGATTTAAAAAATAACATTATCTTATTTAAAAGGGACATTTTACACTATTTTAAAATTTTCCCTTGCCCTGGTACATTTAAACTACACATATTTAACTATAGCATATAAACATTATAATTGTAAAGGTTTTATTACAAAGTGTGCCAGGACAGTAGTAAACAATCCACGGAGCAAAATGTGATACGATTTTAATGGTATCGATGAAAGAATTTGCGTTCCTGTGAGGGACTATGCAAAGTGGCGGAGAAACGACGCAGACTAAGTCAAGGTGCCAGGTTCGCGACCACCTCCTGATAAATACATTCTTTTTTAAATCTATGAACTGAATATGCTAAAATGCTCCCAGAATCCTCAATTCATCACGCCATAAAAACTCCCTCCCTTTTGGCATTTTTCATCATTTTCCTGTGTGCGGGGGGGCTCAAAGATTGGGCCCCAGCCTATGCTAAGCAAGCGCTCTACCATTTGAGCTAATTCCCCGTTTCCGTAGGCAAACAAAGACCTGACACACTCCTTATGTCAGATAGAAAATTAGTCTCCGTTACATGAATTGAATTATCGTTTTCATTTTTGATCGTCACTCATTTTCCCTAGCATGCATCAGCATGGACGAGGTGATGGACTGCTAATCCTTTTGCTCTGCACGCATGGGTTGGAAATTCCATCCTTGGGGCCAATTTTTTCGTAATGAATGTGAGCCCCCGGAATGAAAGGAACCCTCTTTTCTGGGGCTCACTTGAATGAAAGCACAATCTTTCAGCTGTATACTATTTTTGGCTTGTTGCATGAAAATTGCTAATTTAGAATTTTTCTATCACAACAGGCAATATGGCTTGTGTCAGTGTGAAAGATAAATCGCCTCGCAGTTCCTTCCACTATAAATTGTACAAAAATATCAGCAATTCCCCCACCCCCACAAAAAACTATAAAAAATGATGGAAATTGTGAGGATTCTGACAAATAGCAGAAGTTTATTTGTTTATTATTTTTTAATTTTTGGATATTAGAATAGAAATAGTTCTAAATCCCCATAAAAAGTAATGTCATCAATGCGGTTTAAATGGAGAATGCGGGCGTCGATCCCGCTGCCTCTCGCATGCTAAGCAAGCGCTCTACCATTTGAGCTAATTCCCCGTTTTCTCATGCAAACAAAGACCTGACACACTCCTTATGTCAGATAGAAATTAGTCTCCGTTAGATGAATTGAATTATCGTTTAATTTTTTAATGGTCACTCGTTTACCTATAGCATACATCAGCATGGACGAGGTGATGGACTGCTATTCCATTGTGCTCTGCACGCATGGGTTCGAATCCCACCCTCATGGTCCAATTTTTGCTGTAATGAATGTGAGCCCCGGAATGAAAGGAAACCTCTCTTTCTGGTCTCACTTGAATGAAAGCACAATCTTTCAGCTGTGTACTATTTTGGCTTGTTGCATGAAAATTGCTAATTTAGAAGATTTTCTATCACAACAGGCAATATGGCTTGTGTCAGTGTGAAAGATAAATCGCCTCGCCGTTCCTTCCACTATAAATTGTACAAAAATGTCAGCAATTCCCCCACCCCCTCAAAAAACTATAAAAAATGATGGAAATTGTGAGGAATCAGACAAATAGCAGAAGTTTATGTGTTTATTATTTTTTAGTTTTTGGATATTAGAATGGACATAGTGCTAAATCCCATAAAAAGTAATGTCATCAACCGGTTTTAAATGGAGAATACGGGCGTCGATCCCGCTGCCTCTCGCATGCTAAGCAAGCACTCTACCATTTGAGCTAATTCCCCGTTTTCGTATGCAAAACAAAGACCTGACACACTCCTTATGTCAGATAGAAATTAGTCTCCGTTACATGAATTGAATTATCGTTTCATTTTTGATCGTCACTCATTTACCCATAGCATGCATCAGCATGGACGAGGTGATGGACTGCTAATCCATTGTGCTCTGCACGCATGGGTTGGAATTCCATCCTCGTGGTCCAATTTTTGCTGTAATGAATGTGAGCCCCGGAATGAAAGGAAACCTCTCTTTCTGGTCTCACTTGAATGAAAGCACAATCTTTCAGCTGTGTACTATTTTGGCTTGTTGCATGAAAATTGCTAATTTAGAAGATTTTCTATCACAACAGACAATATGGCTTGTGTCAGTGTGAAAGATAAATCGCCTCGCCGTTCCTTCCACTATAAATTGTACAAAAATGTCAGCAATTCCCCCACCCCCTCAAAAAACTATAAAAAATGATAGAAATTGTGAGGAATCAGACAAATATCATTAGTTTATGTGTATATTATTTTTTCGTTTTTGGATATTAGAATGTACATAGTGGTGAATCCCCATAAAAAGTAATGTCATCAATGCGGTTTAAATGGAGAATACGGGCGTCGATCCCGCTGCCTCTCGCATGCTAAGCAAGCGCTCTACCATTTGAGCTAATTCCCCGTTTCCGTAGGCAAACAAAGACCTGACACACTCCTTATGTCAGATAGAAATTAGTCTCCGTTACATGAATTGAATTATCGTTTCATTTTTGATCGTCACTCATTTACCCATAGCATGCATCAGCATGGATGAGGTGATGGACTGCTAATCTATTGTGCTCTGCACGCATGGGTTCGAATCCCACCCTCGTGGTCCAATTTTTGCTGTGATGAATGTGAGCCCCGGAATGAAAGGAAACCTCTTTTTCTGGTCTCACTTGAATGAAAGCACAATCTTTCAGCTGTGTACTATTTTGGCCTGTTGCATGAAAATTGCTAATTTAGAAGATTTTCTATCACAACAGGCAATATGGCTTGTGTCAGTGTGAAAGATAAATCGCCTCGCCGTTCCTTCCACTATAAATTGTACAAAAAATGTCAGCAATTCCCCAGCCCCCTCAAAAAACTATAAAAAATGATGGAAATTGTGAGGAATCAGACAAATAGCAGAAGTTTTATGTGTTTATTATTTTTTAATTTTTGGATATTAAAATAGAAATAGTTCTAAATCCCCATAAAAAGTAACGTCATCAATGCGGTTTAAATGGAGAATGCGGGCAAATCCGCTGCCTCTCGCATGCTAAGCAAGCGCTCTACCATTTGAGCTAACTCCCCGTTTTCTCATGCAAACAAAGACCTGACACACTCCTTATGTCAGATAGAAATTAGTCTCCGTTAGATGATTGAATTATCGTTTAATTTTTAAGAATGAGTCAAGTTTACCTATAGCATGCATCAGCATGGACGAGGTGATGGACTGCTATTCATTGGTGCTCTGCACGCATGGTGTTCAAACTCACCCTCTTGTCCAATTTTGCTGTAATGAATGTGAGCCCGGAATGAAAGGAAACCTCTCTTTCTGGTCTCACTTGAATGAAAGCACAATCTTTCAGCTGTATACTATTTTGGCTTGTTGCATGAAAATGCTAATTTAGAAGTTTTTCTATCACAACAGGCAATATGGCTTGTGTCAGTGTGAAAGATAAATCGCCTCGCAGTTCCTTCCACTATAAATTGTACAAAAATATCAGCAATTCCCCCACCCCCACCAAAAAACTATAAAAAATGATGGAAATTGTGAGGATTCTGACAAATAGCAGAAGTTTATTTGTTTATTATTTTTTAATTTTTGGATATTAGAATAGAAATAGTTCTAAATCCCCATAAAAGGTAATGTCATCAATGCGGTTTAAATGGAGAATGCATGCATCGATCCCGCTGCCTCTCGCATGCTAAGCAAGCGCTCTACCATTTGAGCTAACTCCCCGTTTTCTCATGCAAACAAAGACCTGACACACTCCTTATGTCAGATAGAAATTAGTCTCCGTTAGATGAATTGAATTATCGTTTATTTTTAATGGTGACTCGTTTACCTATAGCATGCACGAGGTGATGGACTGCTAATCCATTGTGCTCTGCACGCATGGGTTGGAATTCCATCCTCGTGGTCCAATTTTTGCTGTAATGAATGTGAGCCCGGAATGAAAGGAAACCTCTCTTCTGGTCTCACTTGAATGAAAGCACAATCTTTCAGCTGTATACTATTTTGGCTTGTTGCATGAAAATTGCTAATTTAGAAGTTTTTCTATCACAACAGGCAATATGGCTTGTGTCAGTGTGAAAGATAAATCGCCTCGCCGTTCCTTCCACTATAAATTGTACAAAAATGTCAGCAATTCCCCCAGCCCCTCAAAAAACTATAAAAAATGATGGAAATTGTGAGGAATCAGACAAATAGCAGAAGTTTATGTGTTTATTATTTTTTCGTTTTTGGATATTAGAATGGACATAGTGCTAAATCCCCATAAAAAGTAATGTCATCAATGCGGTTTAAATGGAGAATGCATGCATCGATCCCGCTGCCTCTCGCATGCTAAGCAAGCGCTCTACCATTTGAGCTAACTCCCGTTTTTCATGCAAAAACAAAGACCTGACACACTCCTTATGTCAGATAGAAATTAGTCTCCGTTAGATGAATTGAATTATCGTTTAATTTTTTAATGGTCACTCGTTTACCTATAGCATGCCCACGAGGTGATGGACTGCTAATCCATTGTGCTCTGCACGCATGGGTTGGAATTCCATCCTCGTGGTCCAATTTTTGCTGTAATGAATGTGAGCCCCGGAATGAAAGGAAACCTCTCTTTCTGGTCTCACTTGAATGAAAGCACAATCTTTCAGCTGTGTACTATTTTGGCTTGTTGCATGAAAATTGCTAATTTAGAAGATTTTCTATCACAACAGGCAATATGGCTTGTGTCAGTGTGAAAGATAAATCGCCTCGCCGTTCCTTCCACTATAAATTGTACAAAAATGTCAGCAATTCCCCCACCCCCTCAAAAAACTATAAAAAATGATAGAAATTGTGAGGAATCAGACAAATATCAGAAGTTTATGTGTATATTATTTTTTCGTTTTTGGATATTAGAATGTACATAGTGCTGAATCCCCATAAAAAGTAATGTCATCAATGCGGTTTAAATGGAGAATACGGGCGTCGATCCCGCTGCCTCTCGCATGCTAAGCAAGCACTCTACCATTTGAGCTAATTCCCCGTTTCCGTAGGCAAACAAAGACCTGACACACTCCTTATGTCAGATAGAAATTAGTCTCCGTTACATGAATTGAATTATCGTTTCATTTTTGATCGTCACTCATTTACCCATAGCATGCATCAGCATGGATGAGGTGATGGACTGCTAATCTATTGTGCTCTGCACGCATGGGTTCGAATCCCACCCTCGTGGTCCAATTTTTGCTGTGATGAATGTGAGCCCCGGAATGAAAGGAAACCTCTTTTTCTGGTCTCACTTGAATGAAAGCACAATCTTTCAGCTGTGTACTATTTTGGCTTGTTGCATGAAAATTGCTAATTTAGAAGATTTTCTATCACAACAGACAATATGGCTTGTGTCAGTGTGAAAGATAAATCGCCTCGCCGTTCCTTCCACTATAAATTGTACAAAAATGTCAGCAATTCCCCCAGCCCCTCAAAAAACTATAAAAAATGATGGAAATTGTGAGGAATCAGAGAAATAGCAGAAGTTTATGTGTTTATTATTTTTTCGTTTTTGGATATTAGAATGGACATAGTGCTAAATCCCCATAAAAAGTAATGTCATCAATGCGGTTTAAATGGAGAATGCATGCATCGATCCCGCTGCCTCTCGCATGCTAAGCAAGCGCTCTACCATTTGAGCTAACTCCCCGTTTTTTCATGCAAACAAAGACCTGACACACTCCTTATGTCAGATAGAAATTAGTCTCCGTTAGATGAATTGAATTATCGTTTAATTTTTTAATGGTGACTCGTTTACCTATAGCATGCACGAGGTGATGGACTGCTAATCCATTGTGCTCTGCACGCATGGGTTGGAATTCCATCCTCGTGGTCCAATTTTTGCTGTAATGAATGTGAGCCCCGGAATGAAAGGAAACCTCTCTTTCTGGTCTCACTTGAATGAAAGCACAATCTTTCAGCTGTGTACTATTTTGGCTTGTTGCATGAAAATTGCTAATTTAGAAGATTTTCTATCACAACAGGCAATATGGCTTGTGTCAGTGTGAAAGATAAATCGCCTCGCCGTTCCTTCCACTATAAATTGTACAAAAATGTCAGCAATCCCCCACCCCCTCCAAAACTATATAAAAATGATAGAAATTGTGAGGACTAGACAAATATCAGAAGTTTATGTGTTATTATTTTTTTTCGTTTTTTGATATTAGAAATGTCATAGTGCTGAATCCCATAAAAAAGTAGTGTCATCAATGCAGTTTAAATGGAGAATACGGGCGTCGATCCCGCTGCCTCCCTTCGCCGCAGCATCCCAATGTAAGAGCAAAATAAGCC